CCGAGTCTGGGTGGGAGGAGGGAAATCACGTTTGGGGTCGCCCAGGCCACCTCTCTCTGCCTTTGGCCTTCTGCATCTGTCTGCTCACTTAGTGGAGGCCATCGCCTGCTGCTCAGGCAGTGGGGGCTATCTAGCCTTGCCTACCACAGTGCTGAGGGCACAGAGATGGGGGCAGGACAGGTGCAGCCTGGCACCAGCATCGGACTTGGCTGCCGGAAGCCCAGTGGCATCCGAGATGAGCTAGGCTCCCCATCTCACTGGCTGGGACTATTTATACCAGCGAGGTGCCCAAATGTGATGCCAGGCTGCCCTCCCCCTCGAGCTGCACAGAGATCATTTTTCCAGAGTTGAAAGAAGAGACAGTGACTAACTCACCTTGAGAGGCTAATGGAGTTAAGAGACTGCTTCTTGCAAACTTCTAGCAGGCTGAGAGGAGGCCAGAGCCACTTTGAGGGAGATCTAGGAATCGAAGAGGCATTTATTAGTGACTCCCAGTAATAAGAGTTGTAACCCCACTCCAGAAAAGTATTTTCAAAATCATTCATGATTTTTAAATTCACTCGGAGAAAGCCACCATTGATATTCTGTTACAGTCCCTCCCTCTTCCCATGCACAGTTTTGTAACTTGCATTTTGGAGATCACAGTTTTGTAACTTGCATTTCCCACTTAATATTATCATGTAGGCCTCTTGCTATGTCATTACACAAAAAATGAAGCCTCATTTTTGATGTCTGCATGGTGGTCTCCATCCAGACCAAACAGGGATTCCACGGCTCCCTCCAGAGCGCAGTCCTGGGCATCCTGTCAGAAGTAGACTCCAGAGCTCACTAACAATTAATTTCCTTCACTCAGTCAGCTTTAGAGACTGATGGAGCCGTGCAAGCCTGCCCTGCCCCAAGTAAAGACCGAGTAGAATGGAGAAGGAAGCAAGGGCTATTAGTTCCATTTTCCAGATGGGAAAACTGAGGCTTTACACCCAGCCGTGGAGCAGTTTTGATGACTGAAGTAGGCACCACCTGGAGTGTTTTCTGGGCACCTGGGATAGTAGCCAGGAGTGTGTCAGAAGTTGGTGGGGTTGGGTATGAGCTCTGTATTGGTTGGTTTGCATATGAAGCATGTGTTCACAGGCCCCTGAGAGAGTCGGGCCTTTACTATGTACCCAGAAACCTCTGTGCTGGTCCTGGGGCGGGCAGTCTCCACAGAGTCAGCAAGTCCCCAGATGTCAGAGCATGAGACCCATAGTTAATCTATGGAATCTGCAGCGGAGATAGGTGCTCAAGGACATCCCCACGTCCACGCAGACCTCTGTGTGGGCTTTATTCACAGGGTGGCAGGAGAGAGGTTTACTAATAGCAGCAGAAGGAGGATCCAGACGGTGGAGCCGCTTCCTGAGTTATTCATCCCTGATGCAGCTCTGCCACCAACCAGCCCGGGGACTGTAAGCAAGCGTCTGCCTCCCCAGGCACCCACTCTCAGCTCTCATCCTTTAACAGCAGGAAAAGGGGGGAGGGGGAGGGAATGTTTCTTGGTTACTTCCTGTTCTCCCTCCTGGCGCTGTGCTACTGTTTTCCCTAAAACTGTCTCCAAGATCTTATCTCAACCCTGTTTCACAGGTGCCGCATTTGTAATGCTGATTTTACAGATGAGGAAACAGGGCGGCCAACAAGGGGCAGAGAAGGGATGTGAACCCGGGTCTGAAAGCCTCTCTCCCTGGCCATCACTAAACACGTGGCACAAGGCCATCAGGACCATTGTCCTGCCTGGTTCCTTACATGAGTGATGTTGGAGACTCAGGAGAAAGGGATCCGAGTGGAGGCCGTGGAGGGAAGGCAGAGATACTTGTGGAGCAGCGCAGGGGTTTGCTGATCGACCGCAGGGGGGGTGCTGGTTGGTTTTATCTTCCTCCTCTTTGTGGACCATCAATTCATAGTATTGATCCGCCTCCGTTAGTGAGTGGGAAGTTCTGAGTGGAACCTTGATATCGAATTTTAGTGTTGAGTGGGCCTGTCACCATCACCTAGTTCAAACAAATTGTTTTAAGAAGGAGAAAGCGGAGGCCCAGAGAGGGTATGCGATTTACCCAGAGTCACAGAGCTGGTTTGCAGGCGTGTGTGGGCTGTGTCCGCAAGCCTCCCAACTCCCGAGCACTCTGGGACAGGTCTCCTCCTCATGGTCCCTCGCGGTATTTGAATCTGGAGCTTCTCCGGTAGCAGCCTGAGATGATGATGGCTTCGGATGACCCAGGGGATTCCAAAGGGCTTCGTGCCACTGGCTCTGGTTGCAGACGATGATCTCTGCGATAGGACACTAGACCTCACTTGCTGTTGTGTGACTGGAAAACGACGAGAGTCAGAGCCAAGGTCATGGACTCTTTTTGTGGCCTCCGGCTGACCTCTTGTTCTCAGTTGCAGACAACAGAATGCATCTGAACTAATTCAAGCAGACTGGGATTATCAAGGGTACAGCCTGAAGAAAGACACCAGGCAGAGCTTCCAGAAATGCCTCGCCAAATGACATTGTGAAATGAGGCCACCAGCTCCGATATAATCTTGAAGGTGCTGCCATCACTACAGTTTCCAAGAGCCATGCCACCTCTGCCACATTCTGCACCAGCAACACAGTGCTCTGAGCCTTGTCCTTCTCCAATAACAGCCTCATGCAAGTGCTTCTGATTGGTTGAACCTAAACTTCATCCAGACCCTTGCCGAACAGGAGTCTAGGAAATGTAGTTCTTAGCTTTCCTGCCTCTGCAGTACAGAAGGTGCAGACATAACGAAGACAAAGTTCCCAAGCTTTTTGGAGGGGGAAGTGGGCACATAAACAGACTTTTAATAGTGTCATTTGCTCTAATTAAGACAATGAAGAGGAGGGACCCTGGAGGTGAGGGTCAAGATGACTTACCATGACTGGGAGCATTTGAATTGGGTACTGAAGGGTCAATATGAGTTTGCTGGCGAGGAACAATAGAGGAAGGAGTTCAAAACCACAAGGGAAACATAGAGAAAATGCTGAGTTCTTGTGAACCCCGCTTCAATTCTTTTGTGACAAGGAGCTGACTTATTTTGTAAATAGGAGCCAGTTTGTTGTATAAAATGCTTTAATGTTTTAAAGTAGTATTTTAAATTACTTTAAAATTAACTATTAAGCTATATTACAATTATGTAAGAGCACATCTATAATATATTTTTAAACAGTGAGATTATATTTAAATTATTTAAAACACAAATATTTTGTTCTACCATTTAAAAATATTTTTAATTATTAAATCCAGTTATACTTTAAAATTAACAATTAAATTTTATTAAATTTAAAAATAAGTACTTATAAACAGAATATTTTTAAAGTGTTCAATATAAAATTAAGTTGTTTAGCACACACATATTTTTAAAAGAAGCCAATTTAGTGGGTGAAACAATTTAGTGTTTCTAAGGCAGCCCATATCTATTTGCCCAGGTCCGTCATCCATGTGAGGGCATGCGCAGTAACGGCTGGCACACGGTGGGGAGGTTTCTGGGAATCGCCTGAGCCTGAGGAATGACTTTATTTTAAATTCTTGCTGGTGGATTGCAGGGTGCAAGAGCAGCCCTGGGGCGCCTCTCCCACTTCCAATTCCCTAGAGCTACCCTAACGTGAAGTCACTGACCCCACACTTAGAGCGGCTTCACCCCGCGGCGGCTTTGTGATTCTGTGGTGGTGGGGCTGTCACGGGGTCCAGTCTGCCAGCTCACTCGGCCCAGCCTCTGCTGAACAACCTCCAGACGGAGGCCACGAGAAACAGGCCACGCCTGGCTTTTGCCCCGGGAGGCCCCACCTTGGCCGAGCCCAGCAGGGAACTACTGTGTTTCATCTTTGAGGGATCCTTGGCCCTCAACTCTTCCCTGCCCTTGGACACCGAGTTGGGTGATGTTCTTCCTTCCTGGGTGTGAGAAGGGGAGGCCTTAAAGGTTTCCTCACCCAGTGGCTGTGGGAGGCCAGAGGACCCTTCCCAGGGGACACCAACTATTCTCGTAGATGAGCAGACAGGAGCGGTCTTGAGTCAACATGCAGGTCCCTGTTGCAGCGCTGCCACCTGCCATGTACCCAACCCTGAGCAAGTGAGTGAACTTCTGATGCTTATGATGCTCCCTTTCCTTGTAGGCTAGTTATAAAGGTCAAGTGTGGATGCCTCCTTGTCCAGTGCTGGGCCCAGCATTTGGCCTGTGGTAAGGGCTCAGCAAACACTGGTGGAAAGTAGATTTGTTACTTTGCACAAAGCTGCTGCAAGGGCCCTGAGGTGGCTCAGACATGCCTGGAGCTAGCTGGTGTTGGAAGGGGACCGGGCTCCTCTGCAGTGGGATCTAGTCCAAACCCTGCTGTGCCTGAAGATGACAGTGGAACTGGAGCTCCGCTGTTTAGCCTCAGTTTTCCCAGCTGTCAAATGGGGAGAGAGAAGTGTCGGTCTCAGCTAGTTACAGCATGAGCACGAGGATCAAGTGAGATGACAGAAATGTAAATGCAGGTACAGTAGGAGGAGCCGTAGGGCTCAGCGATGCTGGTGACTGTCAGTGAGTAACTTTCCCAGGAGGAGGACAGAGGGGCAGGAGAGGGCCAGACTGGCTGAAGGTGGCAGCCTTGCCTCCAGGGCCTCCTGCAGTGACTGATCACAGGAAGAGCCAGAGCAAGAACGGGCCCAGAGCATCCTCCTCCTTTCCTTTCCCTGCGCAACTCAGAACGAAAGATGCTTTTGAATGTCGTTACTCGCTGAAATGGGGTCATGCTCCTACAAAGGCTTGCACTCCCAGGGGCGTGGGGGTGCTGTGAGTCATCACCCGCCCAGTGATCCAGCTGGAGGCCCCTGTGGTCCTGGAGCCTCCCACCAGGTCATCTGGTGGGTGGGGCTGGTTTGCTCTATTTATTTGACTGGAACAGACTCCCCCACAACAAGGGTCCCCAAAAATAAGGCTCCTAAAAGTCAGGCCGGCTTCTCTGCATAGTAACCTGTGTTCCTGTTGGTTCCCAGGTACTTTGAATTTTACGAGGGCCCTTTAGAATACAACTCCACAAGATGCCTGGAGCTGAGGAACGAAATCTTGGAGGTGAAGGTGCTGTCCATGTGAGTGGGGCCGGGGTGGGTGGTGGGTGCACAGTGCATGGTGGGTGGGTGGGTGGGGCAGGGCCAAGGGCAGGGTGGGTTTGGGGCAGAAGGAGACAGGAACAGCAGTGGATCCTGACAGAGCAAGAATTGGGCCTACTTCCCAGGGCCCTGGCTTGTGGAGAACCCTGGAGGGCTGCATGGGGATGATGGCGTTTGATGGAAAAAATTGCAAGGTCGCCTCTGGTGACTTTGGCCTTTCAGTCCCTGGCTCGGTTACCAGTCTCCGAGATTATCGTCACCGGCTCCTCGTGGATAGAAAAAGAAGAGGGTATGGGAGCGTCTTACCTGAAATTTAGTCCTCGCTTTCTTGCTATCATCTTTAAAACATTTTTATGTTCATTACATTTTTTATTTAAATGATAGAACATTCAGGAAGCACAGAGTGGTCTCCAGTGAAGAGCCCCCTGCCCACAGCCCAGAGCCCTTCTCAGGCAGCCCCTGCCTGTTCTTGTGCATCCTTCCAGAAAGTCTGCAAAACCAGCACCTACGGAAAGATATTTTTCACTCTTTCTTCCTTTCTAAAACATAAATGGCAAAAGAACTATGCTTTCCCCTCCCCGTTCAACAATATATCACCAATGGCTGTTTTACAACCTGTGGGAGAGAAGGCGCATTCCGTGCTGAACGTCGGAGTGTGTGCGCCTACCCCGGCCTTCCCTCCCTCCTCGGGCTGCGGTGCGTTCGGCAAGCTCATTTACCGGAATTCGTGTTGTGTTTCTCGTGACAGGATGTATATTTATTTGGAAACAGTTGTGTCTGGGTATGGAAGAAATGTGGTTGACTCTGAGTCAGGCAGTGCTGGGCGCTCACGTGGACTCGTGGGCCCCTGACAGGCTCCGGGCCCGCCGCCCACGGCCCGCAGGCAGGACCGGGTGCCCCTGCAGCCATCTGACACGGTTTGCAGGTGGTGTGGGTCGTAGCAAGAACACAGGTGTCAGGCCCAGGCACACCTGGGATCCAGAGCCTCTGCTGGGACTTTAGACAAACGACTGAACTTCTCTGAGCCTTCTCTTCCCTACAAAAGCAGGGACACTCTCACCTTGCTTTTGAGGGTTGCCATGAAGGGTTAGCTGAAATATAACGTATGTGAAGGTAGTAGCCCAGCGGCCCACATTCACAGTAGCACACGCAGTGGGTGCTCAGTGAGTGTTCGTGTGCCCCTTCCCTCCCCTCCCCGTTCTCTCCTTTCTGGGACCACCATGGGCAGCAGCAACAGCTTTTTGGGCCGTCGTTCAGACTGTGAGCTCCGTAGCCGCAGGAAATTTCCAAGAGAAGGCCAAGCATCCCGCCAGGCTTAGCTGCATTGTTTATGGTCTCTGCCCTAACCACGGGGCTGTGCGCCCTCTCTGGAGAGAACCGTGGGAGAGCTCACCCTCCTGTCGGTCCCACCCGGCCTCACGCAGCTCACTGCCCAGCAGCAGCAGCAGCAGCAGACTTTATCCTTAGGGAGGATTTACCTTAGGGAGACAGGGGAGGGGGGGCAGGGAACTTGACCTGGGCTGGCGGGGAGGGGTTGTCAGGCAGGGCTTATCTGAGGAAGTGACGCTGGTGCTCTGGTCTGAAGGGTGACAGGAGTTAAGTAGGCCAGGAGGATTCCCCACCGAGGCAACAGCTTGTGCAAAGGCCCTGTGCCAGGAAGGAGCCCGCTGTGTCCGGGGCTCTGCAGGGTCAGGGCAGCTTGAGTGCCAGCGTGAGAGGGGAAGTGGAAGCAATGTTGTCAGAGGGGCGGGTAGGCAGGGGCCAGACCTTGTGGAGTGGATTTAGATTTTGTCTTTATCCGAGGGCACCGGGAAGGGTTTTAAGCAGGTGGTAGATGGTATGATGTGATTGGTGTTCCATATACTCCACCATGGGTTGGGATTTAGTGGCAAAGATGGGTCCCCAGACCTCAGTCAGGAGCCAGAGATGTAAGCTCCTAGGCAGAGAGCATTCACCTTCTCTCAAAACTCAGAGGTTGCAGGCCCCTCAGGGTCGCCTGCGGAAAGCCAGAGCACCTCTTCTTGAGAGCACACTGTGAGTCCTCAAAGGGTAAATTGTTAACTTTGTAAACTCTAAAACGCAGGCGGTCGGTGTTTGTCCCTGTTCTGGTTTGCTAGGGCTCCACCACCAGGGACCGCAGGCCAGGCGACTTAAACAGCGGAACTTAAGTTTCTCACAGTGCTGTGGGCTAGAAGTCTGAGATCAAGGTCATCAGGGCCGGCGTCTTCTGCGTTTTTCTCTGGCTGGCCGCCTTCCCTCTCTGTCTTCCCGTGGTTGTCCTTCTGTGGGACTGTCCTGGTTTCCTCTTCTGTGGCCAGCAGTCACGGTGGGTTAGGGCCCACCCTGGTGATGTCGTTGCAACTTAACTGCCTCTTTAAAGACTCCAAATAGGGTCACAAATAGAGTCACATTCTGAGATGTTGCAGATTAGGGCTTCAACATAGAAATTTAGGGGGAGACACTACTCAGCTCATAATAGTCCCCATCACACCTTCCATTTAGGGGCCAAATTAGAAATTACCTGGACCCATTGTTTTCAGCCTGAATGTTGTGGGGTATGATGCGGAGCCTGATATCGCCCCGTGCTCTGTGCCCACGCTGTGTCGCTTATCATGGCTCATGTTGGTGGCATCTTATCCTTTGCGTGTTTGGCTCTAATTCTCATCTCTGCCTTTGGGACACCTGCCCTGGTCCCTGAACTGAGCAGTCACCCTGTCTCTCCATGGCAGTTGCCCTTTCTGTGGCCCCCGTGCCCCGGGACTGTAGGCACTGGTGGTACTGGGGGTCTGAGAGGAGAGGAGAGGCTGGGGCTGCCCTTGGGGCATCAGCATGTGAGCCCAGGGGGACATCGGGGAGCAGCAGGCCCTGTGCCTCCTTTTCTGGGTCCTCAAGCTGAGGGTCAAGTGGGCCGAGTCCAGAGCCCCATCCCCAATCTGAGTGGTTCTGATATCACTGGACACCTGCACTCCAGCCCAGAGCTGGGAGCCCTGCTTGTGGTGGACACTGAGTCATCATCAGGGAAAGGTCAAATCCTCGTCTGTGAACAGAGGGGTTTGGACGGATGCACTCTGAGGCCCTTCGGGCGCACAAGTGTCAGCTGGCGTTCTGTGTGAGGAGTCAGGACCGCGCATGATTCATCTGGGAATGATTCCCATCCAATATGGCTCCCATCGATGGTGAAAGTCAGTCGGCTGGAAAATTCCCACATGGACAAGGCCCCCTTTCCTGACGATGTCAGCTGCCTGCGGAAACTGCACTCCGATGATTTGTTATGCAAACGCATTGTCCCTTTGCTCGTAAGAAGTATTTACTTTTGAATTTAGTCATTCTGGGGCCTCTTTATTTTTAAATTTGCTGCTGCCTCTGCTCATACCCAGATGGCTCCACCCCACCTGCTGGGCCCTTCTGCTGCCTGGTCCCTGTTGTTCTGGAGTCGGGAGGCCTCCCTGAGACAGGGGAGAGGCTGGGGGGCAGGGTGGGGCAGGCTTCTCTGGGTGTCTCTGAGTCCTGGAGTCTGACCCTGTGTGTTTGCTAAGTGAATGGATGTGTGGAGGAGTGGATGCCACGAGGTCAGAAACCAAGGAGGCCCTGGAAGAGAAAGAGAGAAAAAAGGGTACCGTTATCTTCTCATTATTGTCGCCATCTCTAGCACGTGGCTAGAAAAATTAAGTAGACTACGAAAGCTTATACTAAAAAGCGACAGTTCCCGGCCCACACCCTGGGCCCCAGCCCTGCTCCTTGAGCTCTCGGCTGTTCCTGCTGGTGACGGCGTCCACAGCTCCCCATGCTCCGGCATGCTGCTGTCCCATCCACGCCGTGGCCACCGACATCCCGCTTTGGTGGGTGAGGACTCGGCTCCCTCAGCCCCCACCAAGCCCTTCCCCACTTCCCCCGGTTGAGGACCACTGCTCTTTTTAGTTCTTCTATCTATAGACCGTCTAAGTAACCTATTGCTTATTCTGCTAAACATTGGCAGTGTCTCTTGATCCTATGCTGTGTTGTTTTTAGAATTTGAAGATCAGACAGTACTGATTCCATCTCCTTTCTTGTACATCTCCCCCTTTTTCTGAGGCTTCTAGTCATCTTTTCCCCTCGAACTCTTGTCTCAGATACGTCCTATTTCTGTCCCCCCGCCACCTCTCCATCTACCAGGCACCCCCCAGGTTTTCCTTCATCCCCTCGCTCCAACCCGGACAGGCTGCCCATCACTGTCCCAGGTCTTCCTTCCTGCCTCCTTAGGGTGGAATCATCTTGGCTTAGGACTAATAGCTGCTTCTTTCTTGGTTCACCCCCTCGTTTTGCTTCTACCCCCTTTCTACGCAAACTCTCCAAAATGATGGGTGGGAGGTAAACTTTTGATTCCGTCTGTGTCCAAATGACTTAATTTCCCCCTGACCCTTCATAGTTGGTTGGGTGGGTTTGGTATTTTAGGTGCACATCATTTCCCCCCAGTAGGCTGAAGACTTTCTCCGTCATCTCCTAGTGCCTGGGCCACACAGGTGTGACGTCAGTTGTTCCTTTGGAGGGGACCTGCCATGGCAGTTCTGAGATGTCCCAACAGTGTGCCCAGCATGCACACCCACAGGGACCTCTTCAACGGGGGTTCGTGTCCAAACTTTTGAACTTCCTCTTAGATCTCTTTATATTTTCTTTATTTTTCTCTGGTTCCTCTTTTTAGTACATCTAAGAATTGGATACTGGCTTTTCTTGATAGCTTCTCTAGCACTCGTATATTTTAATCTCATTTTTTATTATCTCTTTGCCCTTTGCTTCTATCTACTTTCCGAGAAAATTTCTTGACTTTATCCTTTGGCTCATTTAAACTTTTTTTTTCTCAAGAGCTCTTTCTTTGTGCTCAGAGAAGTCTGTTCTTATTTTAAGGACATCATACTTCTTGAATATCTCTGGGGACACCGAATAAAATATTTTAAAGTTCTATTGTGTTCCTCCCATAGTTCTCTCTGTGGTCTTTTTTTTTAAATCAGTATTTTAATTTAATTTCTTTTTGTGTGTGAAGGCACAAATAATAATTAATGTGAAATAGTTCAATTCCTTCAAAAGCTAGTATTTTGAAGGAATTTATGCCAAAAAGCAGTATAATAAAAATAAAAAATAAAAAAATAATACCTATAATTATAACATACCAAAAATCAAATATTTTTATTTTTGAAAATTTACTTTTCAGTTATAGTTGACATACAGTATCATAGTCTCAGGTATTAAGTGTAGTAATTAGACACTTACAAACCATGTGAACTTATACCCTCAGTAAGCCTAACGCCCTCCTGACATAACTGTGACACCCATCTGACACCTGGTACAGTGATTACACTGTCACTGACTGTGTCCCCTAAGCTGTACTTTACATCCCTGTGACCATTTTAATAACTGGTGATTTGTACGTCTCCACCCTTTTCACCTTTTAACCCATTCTCCCAACCCCCTCCCAATCTGGGTACCACGAATCTGTTCTCTTTATCTAAGAGTTTATTTCTGTTTCACTCGTCCGTTTATTTGGTATTTTAGATTTCACACAGGAGTGAAATCCTCTGGTATTTGTCTTTCTCTGACTGCCTTATTTCACTTAGCATCATGTCCTCGAGGCCCATCCAGGCTGTGGCAGGCGGCGAGCGTCTGTTCTTTGCTGTGGCTGAGCGATGGCCATCCCAGTGCGCGCATGTGCTGTGTCTTCTTTACGCGTTTGTCTGCGGTTGGCCGCACCTCGCTTCTGTATGGTGGTTGTTGTAAATCACGCTGCAGTGAACATCAGGTGGCATGTACCTTTTCGAATTAATGTTTTAGACTTTCTTCAAAATAAATCCTCTGGTCACTTTATCAGATGGTTTATCTTGGTCTGTTTCCTTCAGGTGATCCTTGGTTCCTTACTCATTTGTAAACAACGCAAAGCTGATAGGAACTCAGAGTCCGCGAGCAGCTTTTGTGGAGGGTGGATGTTCCAGATTACGCTGGCCCCTTTGCAGTTAGAACAGCCAGAGGTTTTCACTGGGAATGGTAATTTGTTTTAAAAGCAGAAACGGACAGTCTGATTCACTCCTTCTTCCCTCTACCGGACATTCAACACTTGGCTGCTGTGAAGGGGTGGGGGGCTCGACTGTTCTGGACATGGACTCACAACCAGGCCTCATTTTAACAGCAAGTCCCTCCCTGCCTTCAACCCCCTTTAACATTTGATGTGCAAATCCGCTCTATCTCTGGGCTGAGCTGTCCCTCCTTATGTCACCCCTTCTCCTTCCACGCACTGGATGAAATATCTCTTTCACTGAGACCCCCCTCCACTCCATTTATCCATTCATATGGTAGGCTTATACCTTTTTTATTCTTCTAGTGTTAGTGGTCGGTACCTTGGGAGAGAGGAGATAAGTGCCTGGGATCAGTCCTTCACCTTTAAAGATGATCTGGGCATCAATAAAGCAATTTGTAACATATTTTCACATGTAGTTTCTCACTGGACTTCTCTGACAGCCTCTGAGATGGGCAGGGCGGAGCTGACTGCCCCCATCTCACAGACAGAGCAGCTGAGTCTCAGGTTAAGTGGCTGACCCGAGGCTGCACTGCAAGTTGGGGATGGAACGAGGATTTCAGGCTGGGGGTTCAGGCCCCAACCTGGGTCCACGGTGTGGCAAGGGCATTGGAGACACAGAGAATGGGTCTCGGACATTGGTGACAGTGGAACTTGGGACCCCGGCCTGCAGTGTGGCTGTGTGAGGCAGGGTGCAGCTGTCTAATGACTCTGCTCCTCTGATGTCATGGGAGCTGCTGTGGGAGGTTTGGGAAAAGCCGGAAGGGCCAGTCAGGATGGGGGGGGGCTCCTCCCAGCTCTTTAAAGCTGCCAAGCACATCCCGTTGTTAGGAGATGCCTGAACTGGGTCCGAGGCCTGAGGCCCCAGGCCCCCTCTGCTTCCCAATTCGTGTACTTTGTTGCTCTCCTTTGTGACTTTTCCTGCAGTCTCCCCTCCCCCCACCCATCCTGTATTCCTCTGTAGGGGAGGGCTTGCCCTGTTTGGGAACAACTATTTCCCTTGCAATTAAACACAGGGTAACAGCTCTGTAGAATGAACTTGTTTGTTTAATCTCACAGTTATGTGTTTGCCCTTTTTTAATTACAGTATTTTTATTATGTTTTTTCTATTACCAAGGAAACTCCAGTCTGATGCACCGCTCAGTGGAAATAGGGTTCCATGATCTAATGCTTTTTGCTGGTTTCAGTCAAAGGGAGAATCCCACGTGATTTAAACATACTCCCTTTCCAGAGAGGGCCTTAGCGTATTGCAAGCCGAGATGTTTAAAAACCAATGAGCCTTGCAGGTGGTTGTTCAGACAAAAGGAACACAAGTCAGGTTTCTCATCTCTTCCTTTGTGTCATCTGGAAATTGCGATTTGCCCTTGGAAAGGAGAAAGAGAAGGGCATGCCCTGTCATGAGTCCTACTGTGTGCTAAGCACAGTGTGAGTGACGTACAGCTATTCCCTGAGGGACAATACCTTGCCCTCTACAAACAGATGTTCCTGGGACATCTGGGCAGGTCCTTGGGAGTGGGCACATGAGGAAGAATGTTTTAAAATGTAGCCCGGAGCCCTGGCTGGGTAGCTCAGTTGGTTGGAGCATTGTCTCCATATGCCAAGGTTGTAGGTTTGATCCCTGGTCAGGGCACAAACAAAAAGCAACCAATGAGTGCATAAATAAGTGGAACAACAAATCGATGTTTCTCTTTCTCTCCTTCTTCTCTCTCTCTAGAATCAATTAAAAAATTTAAATATACAATAAAATAAAATGTATCCTGGATTTATTTTAATCAGATATGTAAGACACACAAGCATAGAAATGATATCATGGCCTGGCCAGTGTATCTCAGTTGGTGGGAATGTCCTCCTGTAAATTGAAAGGTTGGCAGTTCAATTCCCAGTCAGGGCATATGCCTAGGTTGCCAGTTTGGTCCCCGGTCGGGGTGCATATAAAAGGGCACTAATCAATATTTCTCTCTCACATTGATATTTCTCTTCCTTCCTCCCCACCTTTAAAAATAAATAAATAAATAAATATTTATTTATTTTTAAAGATTTTATCTGTTTACTCTTATAGAGGGGAAGGGAGGGAGAAAGACAGGGAGTGAAACATCAATGTGTGGTTGCCTCTTGCACGCCCCCTACTGGGGACCTGGCCTGCAACCCAGGCATGTGTCCTGACTGGGAATCGAACTGACAACCTTCAGTTCTCAGGCCAGCACTCAATCCACTGAGCCACACCAGCCAGGGCTAAATAAATCTTTAAAAGAAATTATATCATGAAGGAAGAAGTTCTTATACTCCCAGACCCCTAGAGAAGGAGGCACAGCTCTCCAGTGTTGGTAGGAGGCGAAGAGGTGAGGGGAAACCGAGGTTACAGCCTTCACTGTGGTTCTCACGGGAAGGAATGGGTGAGGGGGGTAGACAGGTTTAGGATTGGCTAGTCTGAATGATTTTGATGCACTCTGCGGTATGTGGGCTGCCCCACGGGGTCTGACACCTGGCCCTGGGATGATTAGGACAGGGAGCTAGTGGTTGGGTTGATAAAGGAGGTGGTTGCAGGTACAAGCTCTGGACTGGTTGCCCTGCTGTGGAAGGTGTGCCTGCGGGAGAGTTGTTTGCCGCCTCTAGGAGTTAGCAAGGTCCCCAGGCCAGAGCATTAAGAATACAGAAACTAAGAAAATACAGTTCGTGCCATGGACCAACCAGCCCAGGATCTGGCAGACGGGGGAGCAGGAAGGGAGCATGTGTGGGAAGGAGGACGCCTTGTCCAGCCTGGCCCTTTCACAGACTCTTCTGTCCTCCATTCTCCAAGGGTGAAGCAGTCGGAGCTCTTCGACAGGTGGAGGAGCCTGCAGATGTGCAAATGGGCGATGAACATCTCCGAAGCCAACCAGTTCAAGTACATATGACTCGTCCGTCCTGCCCCCGGGGGTTCGGTTCCTGCCGCCTCTTCAGATCCTCTTTGTCCTGCAAGGCCCAGCCCCAGGGGCATCTCCCTGGAGCTGGCCCTGATAGGGCTTTGGAGTCTGGGCAGTAGGGATGGGGAGTGGGGGGTGGTTCTGACTCAGCTACTGGGTGCATCCTCCCCTTTCTCCCCTGCAGCATCCCTGCAAGGTCAATGGTGTCGTTGCCAGTAAAGCCAGGTTAACTGAGTCTCATACAGGTGAAGCGATCTGCAGGAGGCTGTCCCCAGCAGGCCTGTGTGTGAAGGCACATTAAACACCTTCTGGGGTCTCACCCCATCACCCCCCTCACCCCGGGGCAGCTGCTCCAACTCAGCAGCCCCCTCCTTCTCCGAGCTCTTGGGTTCTTGCAGCTGATGTGCTGTTGTGGGTTATTTTCTCATTGCTCTCTAAGCATACTGCCAGGTCACAGGCTTCCAGAGAGGCATGAGCTATATCTTAAAGTTCTCCCGTGTCTGAGAGCTAAGCAGTAAGCAAAGCCCATGCACTCCTGTTGATTAATGGTTAATATAGGTGTCCTTTACGCCTCTAAAATCTGTGAGTTTATGGTACTACTTTAGTGCAGGTAGTAGAACTTATTAAATAGAATTGATAGGATCGTGTAAATGTGTGTATTAACCGGATTTTGGCAATTCAGGTTGTAGTTTAAACGTACTGAGGAGCTGTCAGCAGGGAGGGTCCCTACACAGGAGGCTGGGAGAAGCAAATAACACTGAGCATTTTGTATTTTCTTTATATGACATGTGTTCCTGTTCGCTGCAATTCCAGGCCACCTGGAGACCGAGCAGTAGTTTGAGGCGGCACGTTTTTAGAAATGTGGTTGTTGGAAGCGATCACCCTTGAAGAGCAGGTGCCGGAAGCCTGATCCAGTAGCCTCTATGAGGCTATGGAACCCAGCTAAGGCCTGAGAGCAGTTTGCAGAGACCTGCCTCTCATAGAAGTAGAACGTGAACTTGAGCCAAGTATAGGAAGAAGAGGGAGCAGGTCCAAGGTCTGGGCTGCAAGTGCTGTTCCAGATCCACCCCTCAGAAGGAAGTGTTACTGTGGGGACCGCACGGGCGGACACCCCCACCCCAGCCTCTGGCCCCCATCCCCCAGCCCGCCCCACTGCGGGTGAGGCCTGAGAGCACTGAGGGAGTGGCAGGCTCAGGTCAGTGAGATGCAAAGGGCACTGTCCAGGCTGAGAGCAGGCAGAAGCCTCATCTGCAGGATTCACATATGTAAGGAAATAATAATAATCAGCAACAGGAAGATAATATGGCGAGAGAGAAGCATGGGACCCTTTGGCAGGGATCAGCCCTGCCAGGGATCCCTTTGGCAGGGACCAGGGGAGAGGCTCTGGGAAACTGAGACCCTTCTGGGTGGGGGTGGGGGAGAGGTTTCAGGTGTGGGAGAGGGAGGTGACCTCAGGTCTGGCCATGTTCTAGAAGGAAAAACCTTCAAGCCCGTCGTTACTTCCCTGCGCTCTTATTACAAGCTCACAGAACAATAATGAGATTCTTCCTTTGGGTTTGCAGGAGCCTGGTGCATGCAGTGACATGGGGCAGGGTCAGGAGAGTGTGCTAGGAGACAGGCATGAGCACTGCGGTTACAGGAAAGGAGCCCGGGCAAAGGAGACCCATCGGCATTCTGGTTTATATATCAGTCACTTGTGAGTTTGGTTGGTATGAGTCAGTCTCCTGCAGTGCAGTACTCTCAAGAGGGCTGACAAGATCAAGTTTCTGCACCAGCAAAGATAAACAGGCCAGGTGCTGGTTTGTCAGGCTGACCCATGGCCCCTGCCTGGCTAGGCCTCTGGCCTTCCCTCTGGCAAGCCTCAGTCACATTATGAAACCCAGCCCTACACAGGAAAGAATGCTTCCCCTAACCAGCCGCAGCCGAGCTCCCTGCTGAAGTCCATGCAAGAGATAAAGTCATAAAAAAGTATTTGTATAACCTTCCCGGCTCTGGCAGCCTGGAGTCACAGAATTCCAGAGGGTCACAAGAGGCAGCCCTGTATTCTCTGGATGGGGAAACTGAGGCCCAGCAAGGGGAAGAGACGTGCCCAACGCCCCCACAGCTGGTGGGGGCAGAGCAGAAACTAGAACCCGGGCTTCCTGACACCAGGTTGGCAGCTGAGTGTCTGTCCGGGGCTGCGGGTGTGCATGTTCCAGGCAGCTCCCCCTCAACTTTAGTTCATCATCTGGCTGGGCTTCACGGAGAAGGTGTCCTTTCATCCCACAGCCGCGTGGACACTGGAGGTGACCGGGCCTGGAGCCAGAGGAAGGTGGCAAGGGTGTACTCAGCCCCCCACTACTGTTTTAGGAGAACATGTGTCCTTGTGGACCCGAAGTCCCCAGTGTGAGTGGGCAGCAGTTTGCACCCTTTCTGAAGCCCAGACCCTCTGCAGCCAGGTCAGGGGAGCAAGACGTGCCCAGGACCTGACCCCATCACCAAGCCTCACCAGCGGGCCTGGGAGAATGCGCTGCCGGTGGAATGCCAGCCTCGGGGAAGAGAGACCCAGGCTTCTCTCTGGCCTGGCTGACTCCCAAGCTGGCCTCGTCAGCCACATTCTTCCTTGGAGGGTGTTTGTTTTAAGCCTGCTTATATCATCTCAGCTTTCACCTTTCTGGGAGCTCCTATTGGAGTGTTTTTGTCAGTGAAAACCACAGAGTCTTCTTCTTTTTCTAAAGTAAAATAATGAACTCCCGAAAACATCTTTTGGCAGCCAGCTTCCATTTCTTCAGGAGGTCATCCAGTATCAACCCACCACCCCAAGTTTCTGACCCTCCCCTATTTCTAAAGCAGTTTCTGGAAACAGCACGTTCTGTTGCTGCTGACCAGGAGCATCCTGACTCTCTGACCCCATCCTACAGGGCGCAGGCCTTGCCTGGAGTCTGGTGTGGGGGCCAGGAACCTAAGGAAGAGCTCTGCTCCCAGGGTTTCCTTTGGGGCTCATTTCTGCTTCCCACGAGCACGTGTCCGGGAAGTAGTAGAATGCCTAGAAGGTCCCCATGGAAGCTCAAATGAGCAATGGTTTGTCCTGCAATTGGCAGGCACCTGGCTGTCAAACACCTGTGACTGGCGTTATGCAGGATCCGGAGAGGCAGGGTCCCTGCCATCACGGGGTTTTCCTTCAAGCAGGGAGGGAGTTGGCAGATGATGAAGCAGGTGGAATGCTTTGGAGGCCAGCGGGGTCCATGGGGACAGGGTGATGGACAGAAACCTGGCTGCTCCCTGAAAGGCCCAGGCACTGGGAAGGGGGGTTGCCAGGGGAGGGGACAGCAGGAGCAGCAGTGTGGCTGGGAAGGGGTAGGCGAGAAAGTGGTGTGCCCTGGTCTCCCCGAGGGGCCTCAGCTCCGTGACCCCTCTGCTCTTCAAGAGGCTCTCCTTCACCTCGTGGTCGCCCCCCTCTCCCGTCTGTCTCCTGTCTGGCAGGTCCACTCTGTCCAGGTGCTGCAACGCCCCCTCCTTCCTCTTCACCACCCAGAAGAACACCCCCCTGGGGACGAAGCTCAAGTATGAGGTGGACACCAGCGGCATCTACCACATCAACCAGGAGATCTTTCGCATGTTTCCCAAGGTGCTGCTTTGGGCAGGGCGGTCTGGGTGCGGGGAGGAGCCGGCCCCGCCCGGCCCTCTGCGGCCGTGTCCAAGTGGTTTGGCGCGACTCTGCTGTGCCTGCTGCACCCGTTGTCCTGGCCCTGGTTGGCCATCCTCTTAGGCTCAGTAGAATGTCTCCTGGGGGTTTGGTCTGGCACAGGGAATGCCAGCTGGCTAATATTTGGGTGACTTTTGGCAAGAAAGTAGTTATGAAATTTTGGTCATTGCCTTGCTCATAGAGGACATCCTGAAGATGTCTGGGAGAGTGATACGCATTTGTCCTCACAGAGGAAGGCACAGAGCAAAAAGACCCATGAAAATGATGTGTGTGCACAAGAAATCACCAGCCAATACAAAGCAAGGCACTGCAAGATTGCTCTGGTGTTGGATGACCTTGGGTGCCGCCTGCAACACTAGGGATTAGATTAGGAATAGGTTTGGCTGCTTATAACAGAAAATCTGAAATAGCAGAAACTTAAAGAAGATAGGCATTTATTTTTTCCTTTCACATAAGAGAAATTGGGAGGGAGCTGCCCATGGAGGGAAGTGTGGACCTTCATGGTCACGGGGACCATACCATGACCGGTCTGTGGGAGCACACTGCTCGGACGCCTGAGGCTTGGGTACAGCCACTCACTCTGGCCTGATCCCTGCATCTGACTCTCGGAGAAGGGGCATCTGTGGCTGCACTTTCAGCAGATTCTGGTGGTTACCACCGAAGGAGGAGGAAGGTTCCATGGGACCTGCTCATGACCACCTGGAGAGTGCCGGGCTCGGGGCAGGACATCCTGAGTCCTGTCCGCAGAAATGCTGATTGGCTGTGTACTCGGGTCTTCCTGGATGAGACCCGAGGGCCTGGGCCGCCCTGTCCCTCAGGGGACCGGCAACGAAACAGAGCCCAGGGCCACTCTGCATTCTGACACTCGCGGCACGGTGTCCTGGTAAGATGGGCCTTGTGGGGGCACCAGGGGGAGCTGAAGGTGTCAGACATACCCTCCCATGTCGCAGTGTGGGAGGACGGTGCGGTGTGAGCCATCTAGACGAGGTGGGTCTTGCGAGGCCTGGAGCACGAGGTTGACAGCAGGTGAACTTGTCTGTCACGCAGGTAGTGCCTGTGGGGGACCCACAGTGGGGTCCAAGGAGGGCCGTGGGTGTGGGTGGCTGAGGCCCAGGGAATGAGGGAAGGAGCTGACACACGGGAAAGGGTCAGAGAGTAACCATTTGAGACTCTGCCGGCCACACGTCCAGTGCCATGACGACCCTCCTTTATCGTCCTTGCGTGAAGCAGCCACAGACACAAACGAGTGCGGCTGTGTTGCCCCTCGACACGGAACTTATTTGTGTGATTTTTACATGTCACGGGACTTCATTCTTCGGATTGTTTCCCAGCTGTGACAGGACACAAAATCCATGCTTAGTGTGCAGGCTGTGCAGCACAGGCGGTGGGTCAGTTGTTCGAGGCCATAATTTGAAAATCCCTGAACCAGAGCATGCAGCAGGGAAGTATTTTCTGAGCTTCCCTGAAGTGTGTATCTCTTTGAGTCTGTAGAAAGCGAGCTTCTCAGTGTCCTACCAAACCCCGAAGGTTCTGATTCTGTGGTTCTGGGGTGAGGCCCAGACGCCTGTATTTTCAGGAATTCCCCCCAGGCAGTTTTGGATGTACAGTCTGGGAGACTGGCAGGGGACATAGAGAGACTTCTGGGGTCTCTCCAAAGGTGACTTTGTTTTTTCCATTTCTCTGATAAAAATCAAGCAATGCATTTTCCCACAATGGTCATGAGATGCCTGGTTTCCCCACCTTGTCCCTCCAGGGCAGATGGACCACAAGGAGGGACAGTCTCCCAGAGACAATGCCACCCCCCTTCAGGTCCAGCCTCCTTCCCGATGATCCTGGTGTGGTGTGATTTTCCGTGACACCCGCCTGGACGTTGGTCCCAGCAGAAGCCCGAGGTGCTGACGGGGCCACGCTGCCATGGGCTGGCCAGCTGGTGTGTGCTGGGAGGACAGCTGCCCAGCAGCCTCCTGGTGTCAGAGGCAGCAGGGACCTTCGGGGCCACCCAAAAATAACAACCCATCCCCTGTGGGGCAGGCCGAGCCCTGAACTGGGCAGACTTCACATTGACACCTGTGGTTCTAACGGGGAGAGGAGCAGTTTGGGGACATTTGGTGATGCCTAGAGACATTATTGGTTGTCAAGACCGCAGGGTACTCGTGGCCTCTGGTGGGGAGAGGCCAGGAAGCTGCAGGGCGTGGGGCGGCCCGGGCACCGAGGACTGTCAGCAGCACAAGCTGAGTGCGCTGATGTGCGTTCTCTCGCTGAGTCGCGTGAAGTATGCGTTACCATCCTAACTTCACACGCTGTATAAAATGGAGTTGCTGACTGCTCAGAAACTTGTCCGCGTTTCCCTCACCTCATTGTGGGGCAAAACCAAGATGGAACTTGGGGCTTACGACCAGGGTACCCAGTCCTGACTTGCCCAGACTTTCCTGGTTTGGCCAAATGTAAGTCCTGCATCCGAGCAAAGCCCACCAGTCCTGAGCAACTGGATGTTTGGTCACCTTACCCTTGACTGCAGGTCTAGGCTCCTGTCCTGTGCCTGTCCAGTGACTCTGCCTCAGGTGGCCCACGAGGCCATTATGGCCTTGAGTCGGGGCGTGACAGAAGCAGGTCTCCTACATTTCAGGCCTGTATTTGCTTCTTCCTGCCAGTTTGCCTGCAGTCCCCTGGAAAGCATGTCCAGGGAGCCTGTGTGGATGACCAGGACCCAGACCAAGGTCACCTGGCCAGCTGAGGTGTGACAAGGTCAGAGGCTGTGAGAGGCTCATTCCCAGTGCTCCCGTGAATGTCGTTACGCAGGGGGAGTCCTGGGCTCCCCTGTGCTCAGAGCTCTTTCTTTGCAGAGACCTGGGGTGTCACGGCATCTTGCTGTTCCCCTGACGTGGCCTTGCTTGCTCTCCCCCAGTGTTTTGTCCCTGCTGCCGCCGAGTCCTGGCACTGGTCCTGCTCCACAGGACCTTCCTGCCCCAGGCCTGCGTCCTCCGTGTGGAGCAGAGGGAGGGCCCACCCTTTCCCTGAGCTGAAAGGGGCAAGGTTTAGGGTTCTGGTCCCAGGGTGGCCTTGCCCTCGTTTCTGCAGCTGTCATCCCCAGAACATCTGCATCATCGTTCAGATACGTGCACCAGCTGTCACAAAAAAGCTGAGCTTCCAAACTCAGGGAAAACCGAAGGCAGCGGGGCTAGCCCTAAGCCGTCCTCTCTTCACTCTGGAGACCCGGAGCACCCCAGGGCTCACTGAAAAGGGCTGTGGAGACCCCTTTTCTCATCTGCGAAATGGAATGACCACTTTTCTCCAAGGTGCCCTATCAGCCTGACGTGCAGGGCCATGAGAGCTGTGGGTGTGGGTGCGGAAGGGAGAGCACCCACTGAAGGCCGTGCCCCTGTCTCCCCAGGACATGCCCTACAACCGGTCGCAGTTTAAGAAGTGCGCCGTGGTGGGCAACGGCGGCATCCTGAAGCACAGCCGCTGTGGGAGGGAGATTGACAGCGCGGACTTTGTCTTCCGGTAAGAGAAGTGCTCTGCTCTGCACCTGCCGCTTCTGCCCTCACAGCTCTCTGCCTTTGTGTACTTGCCCTTGTTGCCCCACCCCCTCATCAATGCCCTTAATCCCCCACTGCCCACCCTTGCAGACCCTCATGCTCTGGGTTGTCCCTTCTCCTCTCCAGTGCTGTCCCTTTGGGCACATGGCCGAACCCCTTGGGTCCTCAGTCTCCACATCTGTGGAATGGGAGCAAGTGGCCATAACAGACGTGAAGACACTGAGGACAGTGTCTCACTGGGCCCCGTGCAGATCTGCTGGCGAGGCCGTCTGGATGGCCACTTCCTGGCTGGGCTCTGCTCTTCCGGAGGTAGTGCTTGGAACAGGGTAGCCTTGTAGCGGACACCAATTTGAACTTTGCCCTGGCTTTGCCTAAGCTAGAGACTGGTCCTTGTATTTCTTCTTCCCTGTGTAGAGCCCCCTCTTAATTCTGGGGATCCTCACTTACGTCTTTAGTCTGGATAAAGAAGATGGGTTGAAGATAAGAGCTTAAAGCAAAGAGACTTGAGTTGAGGCGACAGTGGGTTCTCATGGGTTGTAGATTCAGTTATTGGGCTGTTCCCCCTTCAGGGGGAAGGGGTTGAGTTGGCCCCTCCATGCCCAGGGCACAAAGATTCCACCCCGCCAGCTGCCTCTGCATCCCTCTCTCAGGCGATTGCCATCCCTTCCCCTTGCCCTCGCCCCCTCCCTTGGCTCCGTCTGGAACGACTGACTGCGTGTCATCAGGCTGCCTCATCTCTCCTGCAGGTGCAACCTGCCCCCCATCTCAGAGAAGTACACCATGGATGTGGGGGTGAAGACAGACGTGGTCACTGTGAACCCCAGCATCATTACAGAGAGGTCAGTGGCCCTCTTTCTAAACCTGTGCTGTCCAGTATGGTTGTCATTAGTCACCTGTGGCATCTGGGCACTGAAACGTGGCTAGACTAGATTGAGATGTGCCATCTGTGCATGTAAAACACACACCCGATTTTCAAGACGTAATATGAAAAAGAGGATGGATTGTATGTCATGAAATTTTTATATTGAGCATATGTTGAAATGATAGCGTTTTGAGTATATCCGTTTAAATAAAATATATTGTAAAAATTAATTGCACCCATTTTTCTACTTACGTGGGCTTACTAGCACATTCCACATCAGTACTTGGCCTGCATTATATTTCTTCTGGACAGTGCTGGTCTAGACTGTCTTCACCTAGAGCTGGGTTGGAGAGCTTCCAGTGTGTGACCAGGGAGGGCAGCTCCCTGGGCAGCGCGTCCAGGCGACACCGGTGGGAAGCCGCACGCAAAGATCTCAGCCCCGCAGCTGGCTCCCTCCTGGAGGCCTCGGGGGAGTGTGTTGATGTGTTGAAACTCCAACGTGGGGGTAGTCACCCCATCGGGTCAGATGAAGGGTAAGAGGAGGGGGAGTTAGTAAGTCGAGTCAGTGGCCGAGGAACACGACACAGAGCGAAGGAGTCTGATGACACGTGAGAGGGAGCCAACCTCGCAGGCTAATGCAAAAAAGTGCGGGGACTGGGGAAGGGGAGAAGCCTGGGAGGACCGGCAGCTGGTCTGAGGTCCGCTGGGAGCCTTAGGGAAGACAGTGCTTAGGGGAGGCAGGGGATCCGTACTCGGCAGAGTGTACACGGAGGCTCTGCAGAGAGTCCCCACACCCTCACTGTTTCCCACTGAGCTCTCCCAGGCCGGCCTCGACCAGAGCAGGTCAGCATTGCCCTCCCCTTGCAGCCACACACTAGATATTTGCCCCTTTGGGTCCAGACTGTCCTCTTTTGCATTGACAAAAATATAACTGTCCCCAAGGAAGGCTGGACAGTCATCTGCTGAGGTGACTGAGATGAAAGGAGACAGGGATGGTCTGTGAGTCCCCTGTGTTTTTTGAAAAGACCCCAGGGTGCAGGGGTGGGGAAGCAAGGGCGCCAGGCCCCTGGGGCGGGGAGTGGGTGGCCTACACTCTCCCTCTGCACCCCCTGCTTAGGTTCCACAAGCTGGAGAAGTGGCGGCGGCCCTTCTACCGCGTGCTGCAGGTCTACGAGAACGCGTCGGTGCTGCTGCCGGCCTTCTACAACACGCGCAACACCGATGTGTCCATCCGTGTCAAGTACGTGCTGGACGACTTCCAGTCGCCGCAGGCCGTCTACTACTTCCACCCACAGTACCTGGTCAACGTGTCGCGCTACTGGCTCAGCCTGGGCGTGCGCGCCAAGCGCATCAGCACGGGCCTCATCCTGGCCACTGCGGCGCTGGAGCTCTGCGAGGAGGTGCACCTGTTCGGCTTCTGGGCCTTCCCCATGAACCCCTCTGGCCTCTACATCACTCACCACTATTACGACAACGTCAAGCCCCGTCCAGGCTTTCACGCTATGCCCTCCGAGATCTTCAACTTCCTGCACCTGCACAGCCGAGGCATCCTCCGTGTGCACACGGGCACCTGCAGCTGCTGCTGAGGGTGCGCTGGCTGCCTGCCACGCCCAGCCCGCCCGGCCCCCAGAACCTGGCTCCTCCTCTCCCTCCTGTGCCGGGCAAGGCAGTGTGAAGGCTGGCTGAAAGGCTGTGACTCCCTCGGTAGTTCAGCTTCATGCTTGAGACCTGTGGGCCCGGAAACAGGGATGGGGTACCGGGCAGTCAGCTCTGTGCTAGGCATCCTGGGCTTCACTCCGTGTGGGCCCCAGGTCTCTGCCTTGCCTACTGTAGTGTGCTGCTGGGTCGCACCTCAAGGTCCGGGCCCTGGGGACTGCAAGTGAATAAAGCACATTTCCACTCAATTTTAGCATCTCAGAAAGACAGCACAAACTGTATCGGCCTTGTCACAGCTAAAGGAAGGCCCTACAGAGAATGGAAAGTGGGGAGACAAGCCAGAACACATGAGCAAGGGCAAGATTTAATTCAGACTTTTGGGTTCCTGAGTTTTGTTTCACAGCCTTAGCCCTGATTTGCTGTCTAGACTCTCAGAGCTTAGAGGCCAACCCAGCCACCAGACCTTCCTGTGAAGACAGAGTGGCCCAGAGAAGACCAGAGACTTATCAGCCAAGGTTCCACCATCTGAGTCCTTTAAGTGACACCGTGAGAGCCGACGCAAGGCCTGTGAGTCAGTAGCTTTGCAGAGACGCTGTCGGCTGAGGAGAACCACGCCATTTCAAACACATCTTCAGACATACACACAGTCTTGGCGCCTCCAGGTACAAACCTGCGTTTGATCTTTTGATGAAAAGGAAGGAAACCAGCCCAGCCATTTGCACTAAGGTTTTCAAGCCAACGTTATCGACTCATAAGTGCTCAGTGATTTGCTTCCTTTTTTGCCTCCTTATTTTCAGCTCTGTTTTAACCAGAGTTATTTATAAGACCTGTTCCTATTTATGTTCCTGAGAACTGCAGAATCCTGCCGTATCCCGATCCTGAACAGGAACCATCAGGCTCCAGGCTGCACCAAGTGACTGGTGAGCTTAGTGGCCGGGAGCACGTTGTGGCCTCTGACACGGGCATCGCTGAGGGACCTGCTTTGCAGGCGGCACTTCCCACATGGCCCAGCCTGGCAACCTCCACACACTCGGGCCCACAGGGCCTGCTCTTCGGGGAGTTAGCTGCGTCAAAGCTGAAAGGGGTTAACATGCCATATCACATCTGAAATCCATTCCCTTTGCTTCTCTCCCTGGTGTGCCCACCATCATGCTGTTGTGCCTCATAGACGCCATTGGAACATTGCCTTAGAACTTAGCTTTGTGCAATTGTAGACTGTTAGTCCCGGGGGGACTTCAGCTCCCTTCCCCCCTCCTTCCCGCCTCCTGTAATCATTTCCATAGCTTGTTCTGCTTTGATCTGGGGTTGGGCTCGTACACGATGACAAATATGAACACATCTTGTTTTATCACACTTCACAGATGTTGTGTTTTTTAAAACAAGTTGAAGGCAAGACCCTCCCCCAGCAAAAAGATTCCGACTCACTTTATTGCCGTGGTCTGGAGCCGAACCTGCAGTATCTCTGAGCTGTGCCTTTATGGGCAGTATCTCAGTCTTCTGGGGCTGGAGGGCAGCCCATAAGCAGATTCCAGCCCCCCGTGCCCGGTGCTCAGAGGAGGAACTGAGGGCACAGGAGGGAGCAGGACCTTTCCCCTGATCCCTCACTTCATGGGCAGAGCCAGAGGCTGAGCCAGCGAGAGGAGAATGCGGGTGCGGTCCTGGGTTGTTGGGAACCACGTGCCCACTCTGGCACGGCGCTGCTCTAGATGCCGGCCTTCCACCTTGGTTTCGAGCTCTGGTCCCAACTGAAAAAACTTCAGGCCTCTCTGAGCCTCGTCTGCTTTTCTGCACTGCGGGAAAGGAACCAAGGAGGCAGGGTCGGCCTGAATCCCTGGTAAACCAGGAAACCCTGCGGTAGAACCACGCACGGCTGCGCTTTCTCAGGTTCTGCCTGTGGGAAGGAGCTTCTGGGAAAGGTTCTGGTTAACGGAGGTTTCCAGCCACTTGCTTGTGGTGAACTGAGCACAGTTCTCGAAAAGATGGAATGGTAGGACTAGAGGGCTCTTAAAGACTATTTGTTCCACTTAAAGAAGCAGGCCTAGAATGGGGAGGTGACCTGGGTCGGGTCATGCCGGGGCTCTGCTGAGGTCCTGCTATGAACAGACCCTCCACCAGAAGCGTGTTCAGTGTGTGGAAGCTGGGGTTCTGGAGAGTCACACATCGGGGTTCTCACAGCCGAGCGTGTAGTGGGCTGGGTCTGCCCAGCCAGGGCCCCTGTAGGTGCTGGGTTTCATGGCTCATGGTCCTGTTTCTGCACATAGTCTCAGAAAGGGTCCCTTCCTCTCCCTTTGGTCTCAGTTTCTGCATCTACAGCCAGAGGCTTCGATCTCTGGGTCTCTGTAACCTGTAACTCTTCTCTGAGGCACTGGTGACAGTGGGTCTAAGCCACGCACGTGTGTGGTTGTGACGGTGAAGATTCGCGTGTTGTCGCTCTGCCTCAGGCTCGAGGCTGAGCACTTCCTTTGCATCGTCTCCTGCAGTCCTCACGGGACCCCAGTAGCAGGAAGGCTCCCATCGGAAAGGCCAGGAGACTGGGGCTCAGGGCGATTCAGTGACTTGCCCATGGCCAGGCACCCAGTGGGGGAAACTGCACCCACGTCTGTAGAACCCCAAAGTCTCAGCTCCAAACCTCTGGTTTTACTGCATCCCAGGCAGTGTCAGCAGGGCTGGAACAAGAGGGGTCCTGACTGAGATGCCACTGCACGCACTGGGCCCTGCCCTGGGGACAAGCACTCTGGGAGGCTGTCATGAGTCCGGAAGACAGTCTAAGCCTATAGGTGTCCCCCTCCTCTATCCGTCCCTGTGGCACTGGAGGGAAGCTAAGGCCATCTCCACATTTTGCAGGTGAGGAGAAATGCCTGAGAAGGGTACACATTTCGTTAAAACATGGTGAGTGACTTGCCCAAAGCCACACGGCCAGCTAGTGCCTCAGCTGGGGCTCACCTGCCTCCTGACTTGCAGGCCACACTTTTTTCTCTGGCTGCTAGTGTTTGTAGAGAAAACATTTTCCAAAGGCAAGAGAAACCCAGGCATTGACTCAGGAGCCCCCACCGAGGGTGTTCTCTCCTCACGGGCCCTACACCCTGTGGTGCAGACTACCAATTAAATTCTTACTTAGGGGAAATTGATGCTCCACAAACAAAAGATCCCATCTTCTTTTGTGCTAACCCCAGAGCCCCAGGGTTGAAAGGCAGCAAAAACAAGGAAATGACTTGGTGCTGAGCCAAGCAAAGAGGAAGGTGGCTCAAGGTCAGATGCGGCCTCTGGTCAGCAGTGCTGGCGTGGCACCTCTGCCCGCTGATCTCCTGGGGCTGCAGAGAGCCTGTTGTCCTTGACTCTGATGAACGGGGAGGAGGCAGGGGCAGTGCTTTTGTTACCAAGCAAACCGGGGCTTGGCCATGTGGCACCTTGACACATGACCCAGTGATTAGTGTTGAAGGATTGGGTTTTTATTAACTGTTCCAACCACAGGGGTGCCTAGAGCACTCCTGCTCTGAGCCCTTCTCTCCAACAAGACCCTTGCTCCCCAAAAGGCTACAAGCCAAAACTATGCCCAGAAGTTCCCCACATCCTAATTTTTCCTTAAGCCAGCTGTGCAAACAGTCCTCCATTCATCCCCTCTGAAACGTACACGTGTGGGTCTCAGAGTCTCAGTCCCCTCGCAGCAGCTCTCTGTGTGAGGATCTGGGGTGCGCTGTCCTCAGGCTCCAGGCAGTGGTCCAGGAGCCTGCGCCATATCACACTGGGTTGTGGTCGAGTCCAGGCAGGCGCATGTCCCGAGACAGTGGCTTCCTGTACGTCCTTCCAAGAAGCAGAGGTAGCTCAGCGTTCCCAGTCCCGGTCCGGCTCCAAGCATCTCCCACGAATCCGTGCTTGGTCAGGCAGGTCCCTGTGCAGCTCCATCAGCTCTGCTGCTGTCTCCTTCTCACTCCAGACCTCAAGGTGTGCTCTTACTCCAAACCACGTGGCTTCCCCTTGCACACCAGGCTGCTAGCCGACTCCCCTCTACACCCTTTCAGATGGCAGGGCTTCCTCTTTCCTTCTCAGCCGGCCCTTATTTAAATGCTCCACCCGGAACTTCCTATGTGACCTCATATTCAGCCCCTCCTATGAGGTATCATTTTTGCCAGTCCCCCCTGCATCTTTCACCTTCTTTTGGCTGCCATGTTTAGTCAGAGCAAGGGTTTCCAGCAACTTCCAGGGTGGGCGTCTGCCCCCTGCCTCTCATGCAGGCACCATGTGAGCTCCCCCAGCTCTGTCGTGAGTCCCTGAATGCTCTGAGTCACATGAACCTTTCACCCTGGGGGACAGTTCTCTTTCTTCAAGAAAGACACAGCTATTGACTTGCCATTGTTATTAACAGTGTCTTAAAGGCTGTGTCAGCCACTTCCTCCTTCCTCCAACCAAGGGTTGTGGGGGTTTTCTTCTATTTTCAGGGGACCCTCGCTCTGCACCCCATTATACTTTCTGACATTTGAGGGGGAGCACGGAACTGGCTTCAGCCAGGTGTTCCACCAATACTTATTGAGCACTCATTTTGTGCCAGGTGCTGGGGAACCGAGGTAGTAAGTGATGAGCAGAATGAAGCCCCTGCCCACTGGAGGGAAGGTCCGGTGGGCGTGTCCAGACTAAACCAAGGGTCCTACAGCCCGAGTCAATCCCAAATTTTGAAGGTTGGCAGGAGAAAGATGGTAATTGCCAAAGCAGAGGATACTTCTCAGGCCTCATCTTCGACATCCCTGTGACCTGTGACGGGGTGACCTCTGGAAGCTTCCTCAGGGTTCTCCTCTCTTTTCAGGAGCTTTCCTTCAGAAATCCCAGTGATTCACAGCCTCAATCCTTTCTGTCCTTGCCTCTTAAACCCCTTCCCTGCAGGCTGGCCCTCTCTCAGAACATTGGAACCATGCCCACTGTGGTCTTAAGAATGCCTCTACCTGCGTGGCCTGTCAAAACTCAACAAGTCCTCAGATCTGGGCTCTACCTCCCCTGTCACTCACTAGCTGTTGACTTCGGAGGAGCTGCAAAAGCCCCTGGAAGCTCAGATGGAGGAGGCCCGGTCACCAGCTCCCCCAGCCGCAGCCAGGCTGGGTGAGACGGTGCTGCACAATGTCTAGCCCAGCGCCGGGCACGAAGGAGACACCCAGTGAACACGGCCTCCTTCCATCCACCCCCCCACTCCCGGTCGTCCCTCAGTGGGTGGCTCTCCTGCACCACTTCACTCAGTCCCAAACCTGGGTCACCCTTTGCTTTTCTTTGTCCTTCCCCTTCTGGCTCTGTTTGTTCTTCAAATCATGTCAGTTCCGATTTGTGAATATCCCTTGAATTTATTCTCTACCTGCATCCCTCCTGCCCTAAACTCAGGCCCTTCTGACTGAGCTGCTTCCAGAGAGTTACCTCCTGAAAATACCTTTGGTGGAGTCCATTGCCTGCCTGCACCACGTAGTCCAGATTCCTTAGCCAGAGAGGCAGGGCTTGTGCCAAGCTGGCTCACTCACTTCCCCGGAGACCTCCTGCCACCTCCCCACCCCACCCTCGCACCCCTCCAGGTGCCCTGCATTTGTACAAGCTGCTGGAAATGCCTGATGGGCTTCACACCCCCACCCCCCCTCTGCCCCCCTTTACTCTGTCACTTCTGCAGGTGTTAGGTTGTGGTCCCTGTGTCCTCCCCTCTGTGGGCCGGGCATTCTCTCCTCCTTGCTTCTGCCCTAACCGTCACTGACTTCATTTAGAATGCCCTCAGCTTGGCCTCGCCAGACCTTGAACCACAAGCAGCCTCCTGGAGCAGGGGTGCCCTGGCTGCAGGGAGAGGCCGGGTGTGTGCCGAACTCAGAGCAGCACCATCCCCGCCCCCCAGGGGGAGGGCCTGGGCTCCTGGCCTCCTGCTGGGCCTGTGCAGCAGTCTGCAAAGCTCAGCTCGTCTGCCTCTGGGTGAATAACACATTTTCATAGCACGTGGCCCAGGCATCCTGTATCCCTGGCCGAGGGCCTGTCCTTTCCCCAGTGGAAACCCCCTAATCTGGCTCATCTTTGCACCCCCAGCACTGGCACAGAACCAGGTGTTCACAGCAACAAGGGGCTCTGGTTACCTAGTTCAGGAGACCCTCGTAATAAACTGAGTGACATCCTGTGGAATTGTTGGCTTAAAAGAGTCCTGTGTTTATTTATTTTTTTTTGCCCAGCACCACCTCTGTGGGAAGCGCTGAGCTGTGAGGATGCCCCCAGCTGTCCTTGGGGAGCGTGGCCCCAGAAGGCCGGGCTGTCTGTGTTGTGGTGGCTTGTGGCTCCATCTGCTTCCCTCTCTGTTTCTCCCCTTTACAATCTTGCTCATCCGCCTCTTG